TGAGCTGAGCATGACCCAGAAGGAGATGTGAAGTCTAGGTCAGGATTGAAACTGAACCTGGACTGAAAGCTTCTTCTGACACCACACAAAGCACCACACAAGTGGAGCGACCCCTGAAGGCGAGGATGCCATGAGGAGAGGAGTGGTGACGGAAGAGATAGGAGAAGAAAGAGAAGGAAAAGTGGGGAGGAAATGTCGAGATGGGCCGGTAGTGGATGGAGCCGGAATGACGCAAGCGTTGTGAGGCTCTCCCCCAGTCCATCCGGACTGAGAGATAGCCAACAACCAACCACTTGACCATGGATGATGAGCAGCAGAAGGAGAAGGCGACCGAGGGCAATCCCGAAGGGATTGCAGGACGACTCGGCTCGACTCGATGATTCGATTCGATTCGGCCCAAATTGAATTTCACTCAGTTCTCATCTTCCTGTAAAAAGATACTTTTGAGCCTTTGACCCACACGTTTTAATTAAGATACTGGTACCATTCTTCCTGAAATGCTTGCTAGCTACGGTAACGTAGTAATAGTACTACATGTAGTACATCCGCACGGCCCATGCCATGCCATGGGAGACGTCTCCCTCTCCAAAACCTATCTGTGCAGGAGCTCCCGCAACATCCGCTAGCAAAAGGGAACTCAGACATGAAAAAAATCTTCCAAAATGTGCGGCTGGCAAATTCGTTGTTGGGCTGGCAAATACACGTGCCGGTACCGGTAGCCCACTGCCATCTGCGACAGCATCCCAAAAACTATTTATCGTCCAAGCTTGCCCAGCCCAGGCTTGAGTGCTGAAGTGACAAATGAAATGGAATGAATGATTCAATCGTTTGGCAGCAATACCAATGCGCTTTTCAAGCACACAAAACCATGGATTTGTATGACTCCAAGCTTCGAAAAGCCATGCACAGCAATGTCATTGGGCTGGCAACTGTCGGGGTAAGGTTTGTTTTAGTAAGCCTTTTGTCGTAAATTATGCCAAAGAGCATCTGTGCCCCTTCGGTCTTCTAGCGAGAGCCTTTGTCTGTGGAAATTGCTCCTTGCCTGCGTGGTACCCTACAAAGTACATCATTTGTCCTCCGAGGATGGCACTTGACGTAAAGAGAGCTCGTGAGACTCCTTAGATCCGTTCAAAGCACCAACACAGCGTGGTTTCTTAGTGCAATCAAGTACGCGGTGGAAAGACACGTGGTTCTATCCTCACTACTTCTTTCGCAGTATTACACTCAGGTTGTTGGCTGGCATCTCGATAGTCTCCACGTGCTCTAGCCCACACTTTTCTGCGGCTGCAAAGACATCTTCCAGGTTTCTCACGCCCCAGGATGGGTCTCTGGATCTTAAACTCATGTCAAACCGTCTGAGTCAAAAAAGGAAACGGTAGTTTAGCAAGTACACCCTCATCTATGTCTTTGGATACATGTATCCCAGTGCAATGGTCCTTCCAACAAGACTGACATCCACTTACAAATTGGATTCTACGGCGCTGCCGTTTACTTTGTATGGTCCATACAGAAACAGTATACCGCCGCTGGAAAGTTTGTTTCCTGCCAGATTCATCAACCCCAACGTCGCCGACCACGGACTGATATGAATCATATTGATGCATATGCATAGATCAAATGTCAATCCGTTTACCAGATTTGGGTCGGTCGGGCCATCTTCATGGAGCGTTACATCGATTGGTGATTGTAGTTTGTCCTTCAACGTTGGTTCATCATCCAAATATGCCTGTATGGACGCCCTAGAGGACTCCTCTGGGTCACTGGGATACCACAGAAATGGGGTCTTGGTTTGATCCAACTGGAGTGAAAAATGATGGGAATGAACACCACAGCCGGCGGCTATTTCCAGCACTCTGAGGGGCTCGTCCTTCTTTGGGATGGCCGGCAGAACCTTGGCGGACAACATGTTCCAAATGGGCTCTTTATTCCTCTGTGCCGAGGGAGAGTCTCGTTTCGCCATGGCTATTGTCGTGGAAGTCGGTATATTGCTATGCAATCTTCTTCCTCCAGGATTCTTACTGCTTTGGATCTCTTGGGAAGGATTTCTCGACCAAAACGCAGAACAAGGCGCGTGAAAAGCAGCTTCTGCCGTGTGGACAATTGAGGATTGTAGCAGAAGCGAGAAAGAAGACAACACAAGGAAGGATCTTTGGCGGCAAAAGGACTGATGGGCTAGAAACTTTCGATGCTTTGTCGTCTTTGCCATCCTTCTGAGATTGTACCGATAATTTTTAAAAAGGCAAAAGGATATCCATGGAGAGAGCCACCAAGAAGCCGACTTGGCCTTCTTGTTGGCTGCGTTGGCGGATCTTTGAAAGATTCAACAGGTGACGTCACGTAATGCTCATTATTAAGGTTTGAGCCCTACTAGCTACCGGTAGCTAGCTAGTAGTATGGAATACCCCACCTATTAGCCAAGGGTAGTAGCTAGCTAGTAGGTACCACCGTACCGGTAGACTATTCCACTCTCCACATTCACATCTCCCCCCAAACGAACCGCCTTCTTGTTCCCACACATTTCCAACAGCTTTTCCATACTTCTCTGGCTTGCGTTGGCAAACCATCAGAGGAAAGCATCTCACAGGTATGCATAGGCGTATGGTGCTTCTACAGCTTGCCTTGACAATAAAGGTTCCTCGCCTAAACGGGCAACAAAGCAGCTCCCGATGGGGCGGACTGTCGATTCTTTCGCATACGCGTGCCCTCAACCCTTCTACTAGAACAGGCGGCCAGAAGTGCCGCCTGTCATTCTGAGTGAAGTAAAAGCAAGCCCTCGGCGCAGTAGCAAATAATACTACTAATCATTGAGTCAAATCAAATCTTTCGCATACTCTGGCCAAACCACTTCCAGTCAGCCAGTCAGGAGCAGGCTTCCACACAGGTTTGGTTGCTATCCAGCATGTTAATCCCCGGGCCTACCGGTAGTCGACTGGAACCTTTTTCTTGGGTTAATTCACCGACTGTGTGATTCGACTAGAAGGGTGGGGCTGGATTGCCAGCGGGTGTCAACAGTCCTGCGAGATATCCGTTACCAGCCCATCTGCAATGGCCTGTCAGCAGCCGCACCAGTTATTACTGGCTAGCTAGTGCGGTACGGTAGTTAGTTGTTGCCGATCTCATTGGCTTTCTTTTGCATCCAGTCACACACAAAAAAGGTATCTTCGCGGCTGCGCGCAAGCCAAGCCAATGGTAGGGTACGTGGACGAAACCTGTGATGCTCGTCCTTGAATTGGGATCGTCATTGCTTCCCATGGATACGCTGCATTCATTTATTTTCCTCCAAGATTGGTCTCCTGGTTGTGAAAATAATAGCAAGTCTACCTCTACCAAGATGGGTCTGAAACCTACGGATATCTACCTGATTGCCTACAATGCGCTTTGCTGCGCTGGCTGGGCGCAAGTGCTGATTGGAGCCCTCGAGTATTTGTACTTCTCCTACCAAGATGACAATTTCAAGTTGGGATTGGAGACTGTCTTCTTCTCGGGAAAGCTTGACTATTTGATTATTGTCCAACTCGCCGCTGTTCTGGAAATTGTCCATGCTGCGGTGGGATTGGTCCGGAGCCCTGTCATGGTCACGACCATGCAAGTGATGAGCCGTGTGGTGGTACTTTTCCCAGCCGTCTTTTCCAATGGAGCCAGTGAGTTCACTTCATAATAAAATGTCCAATGCCAAATGGACCCCTATTATATGAATTTTCTTACCGGATTCTGCCTTTAAATTTTTTTCAACAGCCCAATATGGAGCCGGATTGATGGTTTTGGCTTGGTCCATGGTGGAAGTTCCTCGCTATGCTTTTTACATTATGGCAATTTGGAGTGGCGATGCTACCAAGGGAACTCCTTATCCTCTGTTTTGGCTACGTTACTCGCTGTTTGCCATCCTTTATCCCATGGGAATTTTTGGAGAATTGACTGTTTGCTTGGCAGCCGCCAAAGATACACATTTTGCACTATCCTATGGATGGGCTCCCTTTGCGTATGGCACTTTGTTGCCCGTTATTTACTTTTTTGGAAGCCCTTTCATGATTTTTAACATGTATTCCAACCGTGTCAATGCTATGAAGAAGCGATTCGCCAGACCCCCACCGCCTCCTCGTGGAGTTTCCTGGCCAGAAGACGAAAAAGGTCAACGTTCCTCTACCAATGTCAACAAGGCAATTTTGGCTGCAGCCGTTGGTGCCGTCAACAAGGACAAAGAAGCTGCCGTAAACAAAACTAGGAGCTGGCGTTTTGGATATGTCAAGCATTTGGCTGCCATGGTAGAAGAACAGTGCAAGTCTCCAGAGGCTGCCCTGAAAATTGCTCAAGCCGGTTTGGACAAGGCTTATGATGTCTTTGAATTTATTGCTCCCGACGGTTCGGCTGTCAGTCTCCGAGAGGCTATGGAATCCAAACCCACCGAAAAATTTCACACTGCCTATATCCAGGGTGAAGGAAAGAAAACCGATAAGAACCAGCTGGAAATTCCCTACGATGAACGCACTTTGCGTGGTGACAAGCTCAAGAAACAAGTCAAAGAATGGGTTGACTATGGAACCATCGAACCGAGTGCCGGAGATGCTATCATTAGCTGTGTGGATCACCCCGAATATTTGGACTTGTCGGATCGCTACTTTGTTCTTTTGGGAGCTGGATCGGCTATGGGGCCGTTCCTGGTGTTGATGGCATTGGGCGCAAATGTAATTGCCGTTGATTTGGACCGTGATTTCATCTGGAAACGTTTGATCAAGATTGCCCGACTTTCGTCTGGTTCCATCACCTTCCCCCTCAAAGTGCCCCAGGACGAGTGCAAAACCGATGATGATCTTTTCAAGAATGCTGGCTGCAACTTGTTCACTCACACACCAATGATCCGTGACTGGCTTTTGGATTTGTACCCTGGCAAGGATTTCACTGTTGGTAGCTACGCGTATTTGGATGGTGCTCGTCACGTTCAAGTATCGTTGGCCATGGATGCTATCTGCAAGGATTTGAGTGAAAAGAGAAAAGCAAGTTTGGCATACCTTTGTACTCCCACCGACTTGCACCTAGTGCCCAAGGAAGCCTACGAAGCAGCCAAGGCGAATTACAAGTCCTACTCCAGTCGCATTTTCTGTGAGTTTCCACGTATTGGTTTGATTTGCTGCTTATCTGAAATTTTCTAACCCCCCAAACTTTTGTCTACGAAGGTATGATTATGAACACTCTCAGTCAGGGCAAGCTCTTGAGGAAGAACTACCGTGCACCCATCAAGGTCGGGGATGAGGAATTCTACTTGTTGAACGGAATCAGTGTTGCCCAAGGTCCCAACTACGCTTTGGCCAAGAGAATGCAGCATTGGCGTGCCATCATTGCTCGTAGCAAGGGATGCATCGTGTCTTCCAACATTGCCCCATCAACCTCAACTGTTTCCGTGGTGCACAACCGTACGTTTGCCTGGGCCTACGAAGGAATGCCATACTTTGAGCCATACGAGATCTTTGCCCCCGAGACATCCAACGCTGTGATGAGTGCCATTCTTTTCAATGATTTGAACGACCCCAAGAGCGTCGCCAACCCCAAAACAAAGGTCTCCAATCCCAACCAGCTGTTCTCCTACAACTCATTCCACGGCGGATTGTGGCGAGCCGCTTACGAAGTTGACAGCATTGGTGAAACCAGTGTGTTGATCTACTTCTGGCGTGCATCCGCTAGCTACATTGCTTTCGTTGTGCTGTCCTACCTCGTTTTCTGGTGCAACTACGGAAAGCTCTTTGGATTGACTCAAGAAGAGGCTTAATTGAAGAGGAGCTCTTTAAGGTGGTGTGCGGCCGAATTCGAGAGCGGTTTCTTGCATGGTGAACCGAGGCAATTTGAAGGATGCTCCCTATAATTACTATTGTGTAGGCTATTAGATTCTTCTTCAGCTGGCTGGCTAGCTAGAGTGCTGTGTATCGTTGGATGTGGCCTTTGAGAGGAAGGTGAGGTGGTACGAGTACTGTATGGTACTTTATTGTGCAGGTTGTGCTACACTGTCTTTCTGTGCGATCGAGGATTTGGATCATTCTCCCCAAAGGTCATCCATCAAGCGGTACAGATGGGGCTCATTCTTCCTGAAGCATTACATGTAGCTAGAAAAGACTACTCAGAGTAGCCTTTATTAAAGGGTCAGGTCAATGAAAGTGACGAGGTTGACCACTACTAGTACACTACACTCTTATCATCCTGTCCAGTTGCAGAGAAATTTTGAACCCCAAGACCACTTTGAATGAATCAGCCGTATTTACACACACAGGTGCTGGACCAGAAATTGCTGCGGCACCTCTTTGACGAGGTGGGTCTGCTCCCATCAAGATAGGGTGGGTCTCCAATCACAAATGGAGTGACCCAAGTCATAGGCTTGGATACCGATTACCGTGCATGTCATTTTCAACCGGGTCAACCCCCAACTTGGTTCGTGCTGTTGCTCGGTGATGGTGTTGATGTGTTGATGCATTATTGTGTACTGCTGTATGTGACAGTAGCTGTCTGACCCAAAAGACAGATAGAGGAGGTAAATATTATTAGATGAGCGGTACTGTGATCTGTGATGACCGTGCTGAATGGGGTGAGGCAAAAATGCCTTACTAGCCACTATTAATAGCAGTAGTAGTGCTTGATTTTGCGTTAAGTAGAAATTGGCATTATTAGAGTGTTCTTCCAGCCGAATGATCCAGCCAATCTAGAGTCATTATGACTCTCGTTTCTGGCTACTACATGTACGCTGTACAGAACTGGCTACCGACGCATTGAAAGGTATGGGTAATGAGAAATTCAAAGTTGACCTAGCCATTATTTCTTTCTGTTATCTGTTTGAGATGAGTGTTAAACCTATAGTTGCCATTTGAAAGTAGAGCATTAACACCAAACACGGTCCATATACCCACAAGTGAACGTTTTGGGGAGCTTAATGGAAATATTTAACGAAATGACTGAATGACTTAGAGGGCATGACTGAAAGAATGGGTATACACGAATGAGAATTTGCACGTTTCGAAATTGAAAATCGCTCGAAACGGCACGATGCGACAATGGGGAGTGCTTGTTCTCCACAGGAAAGTGACAAAATCACCAAACAAATGTTACAGCCCTATGCAGAACAACAAGGGGCATGAGGCCGTAGCATTTGTTTTTGTGTTTTTGCATCTTCTGGTCAATTTATTCCACTCCCCAAGTACAATACCAGACTCTTTCAATGAGTCGGTACCTACCGATGCTTCAGTCCGGAATCCAGATTGGGGGACCAGTTTTCTCTATCAGGAGATGAACAAATCCAATAAAAGAGGGGTTGCAGGCATACCTTAGAGTATAACGGAGGCCTGCATAGCCTCATTTCTTGAGTGTTGGTCACTTCCTGGACTGTAAATTGGTCCCCCCTTTCACGATGAGGACAATGGCTCATTTTTTGGCGAATTCCGAAAATGTGAGCGCAAAATGTGAGGTTAGTTTTAAACTAGATGGCTGGCTCTCCAGTCACAGAACCTCTTTCGCGATTTGGATTTAGCCGTTGCATCCAAAGAAAATCGCATCCCACCAAGTGCATCCCTTTTGGTTCATGTGTGCACGATCAGTCAACATGTTGTTGCTGTTAACACCTTCCTCTCGTTCCGTGAAACCAATCAGCGACCATGTTCAATGTCAACCTTTCCTCTCATAACACGTAAGATTGACACCAACTCCTTCCGAGTAACCTCCGAATGAAGTTTCGACAATGATGCAATGCCTCTTTATCAGATGGGATCGATTTTTGCAACCATGGGCATCCGGTTGAGTGAGCTCAAACTCGCGTCAGATTCAACGGCAGAAGATCGCATCCGAATCAATGGATCAGTCGGAGCCGTCTTCATTCTTCGAAGGAAACCATCTCATTATTTTGACCACTGAAAACCGCGAAGCCTTGCCGAAACCTTTGCCGTCGGAATGAGTTTTTTCATTATCTTCCTTCCTCTCGGATAGACGACCATGGGGATGGGCCGTTCGCTCTGCCGTCGTTTCATTGGGATTGGGATTCTTCTTCTTCACCCGGCTTGTGCTGTCACGTCATCTTACAAGGCTGCTTCCGATCCACGCTCGCTCCGTCCATCCACCGAGCCAACGTCCTTCACGCCGCTGCTCTCCTTCTGTTTCTTCGGTCCGTCGTTGACTGATCCTTCTACTTCTTCCATCCAACCACCGACGCTCACCATGGCCAAGACCGGTCGCCGGAGCAGCATCAAGAGGCACAAAAAAGGAGGCAAGAAGCGATCCAAGAAGGAACAAGCTCGCCATGACCGAAGCACTGTCACTCCTCCGACTCCTCATGAGGAAGCAATAGCTAAGCGTGTCAAGCGTGCGAGTGAAGTGGCTGAAGCTTTGGGAATGAGTCCAACCCGTCGTGCTCATCATGCTCGTCTTGCAGATCTTTCCTCTGATGAAGACGAGTCTCTCCGGTCCTTGGCGGATCGCCTCAAGCCTGAAGAAGACTCAATGGAAGAAGACGACTCGGATCCTGATCAACATGACGATGACATGGATTACATTCCGGATGAGCAGAAGGTCAAGGCTGCTTTGGCGCAGATATTGCCAGAGGAGAGGGCGAAGAAGATGGCTATTGCATATCTTTATGCTTACAAGTATGCATTCCACGAGGACACGAAAGACACTCCATGGATTGGCATCAACGGCACGCAAGTCAAGATCCGCAGAGACTTGTACGAAGAAAGCAACCGGACCAAGTATGTTGACGTCTTCACAGACTTGCATCACTGCTGCGAGCAACACATTGTCTACACAGGCCAGCGGGTTCATGCTGGACTCAAGCCAGTCATCATCCCAAACGACTCGTTTGATGCCGTCTTCATTGCCAACTGCATTGAACGGAAGAGCATGAGCGTGACAATGGCGATGCAACACCTGAATCGTCTTTGAATTGAAAGAGGCTTGGTCCCTTATTCCAGGTCTGTCGTCGATGGCTTGAAGAAACGACTCAAGCACAGAGTGGTGCCAATTCTCAAGCGCAAGCAAGGCAACAGGGATGTGAACTCCCCTTGGGCACTTCGTCGTCATGGCTGGGCTACACAGCTCTTGCTTCGCATGAGACATGATGTTGAGGTTCCTGACCGGCTTCGTGAGGCTGCGCTGACGGATCCTCCGGAGGAACTACCTCAGCGACAAGTTGTGTTGGGCTTGGACGGCTGGATCAGTGACGAATCGTCTGGTTCCTCTTACAAGGCTGATTCTTCCAGTACGAGTTCTAGCTTGAGTTCCAGTCAACACCCTCTGACTCCACCTCCTGATGAAGTCAGTGCGAACGACGAAGGCAGTGCGAGTTCCAGTTCGGAACAACAGCCTGACGATTCCTCTCGTGCGTCCGGTTCTGGCTATGAGTTTCCACTTCCGCCCTGCTTTGATATTGAGAAACTCAAAGCCGCAGGATGGGATTTTCAAGTCGATGATTGTGCCGTCTGGGATGAGATGCACCGCAAGTACAAGATTAGGTCGGTTCATGCGCAGGCTGGTCGGAAAACTGTTGTCCAGTTTGCAAGAAACGACGAGGGGCAACCAGATCCCAACGGAAGCTACAATCATGCTGTTCCTGCCTACTGTTTGAACGTCAAGTATGAGGATGAGGTCCGCCTTGGACTTGGCTGTGCCATGGTCTCTTACCGCAACGCTGATGGTGTTGTCGAACACAAGAAGGGATGGGTGTTGGATCCATTTGATTACACCAGCAGGAACATCATCTCCTTGAAGAAATACCGCGAGCTTGTCAAAATTGAGATTGTCAGGATCAAGAAGATGCGGGATGGTCCAGCCAAGACGCAAGGTTGGTTGACTACGACACGGGAAGTGGGGAAACTCTACATGTCGGACAAACTCGTAAAAGGAATGATTCCTTACGTTGGAAAGGCAACGATCGAAAAGCTCAACGAACACGGCATCTTCACTGTTCGTGACTTTGCAGAAGCCGAAACATTTGAGCTGCGGGACATGACGGAAGATTACTCTATGGAGGACGAAGGTGGTGGTACCTTTGAGATCCGGTTTGTTTCGAGAAATCTCAAGACTCTCAAAGGTTGGCGTGCCGCATGTCGGAAGGCTTCGAATGTGGTCCCACACACAACTGACTACCGCAAGCGTGCAAATCCCTACAAGTCCCGCTATGGTGAGGATTGGCGAGACTTCATTCAACGATCCACTACTCTGAATTCCACGGGATGTGTCACAGAGGTCGTCAAGCACATGTACAAGGAATCCAAGCGCTTCTTTCGCAAGCACGGACCAAACTTTCACGGCTGGTACTTCTATCAAGATGCGCTGTCCCAGATGACGTCCAAAGAATGCTACAAGTGGATGGACGAACACGGCTACCTTGTGCACTGGCTTCTTCCTGTTGGATTGAACCTCACCAGCAATCGTCTCGACAAGTTCCCGTCAGGCAACAGTCCAGAGGCCAACGCTTGGGATACGTCTCTCAACAAGGACGTGAATGATTCAGTGAATCGTCATATCATCATTACGAGCCATTTGGACGATGATGACCCAACCAAGTTCACCATCTCGACACCAAAGCGTGGGCAGGAAGCGTACCATCGTATTCTCCAAGGCGCACCGCCCAGCAAACGCATCGTCCAGGATATGGATCGATTCGAAGACTCGATGATGGCGATTCACCTGGCTAGAGGCGCTGTCGTCCAAGGCCTTGGTGACCAGAAGGGCATTCGAGCTCAAGAGAATAAAGCGGCAATGGTGAAGGACGGTACATTCGTTGAACGTCGCGGT